CCCCAAAACCCCAAAACCCCAAAACCCCTAGTTCTGATAAATATCGAAACATATTCATAAACTAATAATGGAACAGAACAATCAAGGTATGCCTAAAACTCACCTAATTCCTGAACTACACCGAATAACTTTAGCCCCATAAAGGAAATACAGGGTTGGCCAATTCTGGGTTTTATAAAGCTTTAGTCTATTTTAAGAAGATTTTAAGCGGAAATACAGTTAATGATGGAAAGTTTGTAGTGGGTTAGAGATGGGAGGAGTGGAGATTTTAGTCTTAAAATATCTGATAATAATAGCTATAGGAAGAGATATAGAATCATCGGTATTATTACTGAGACATGCCCAATCACTGTACAATAAGGAGAAGACTTTGTTGAAGGAAAGTGGCTGAGGGCCTGAAGATATTACTGTAATTAACCACAAATAGTTTTCAAACAAGACTTATTATGTTTTAATTCTACTCAGAAACCTTCAAAACCCTGGCACTGGCTAAACTATATGTTAAAATTCACCTTCTAGAATGCAGGCAGGAGGTTGTTGAAAACCAATTGTTTTAGCTTGTCATGATATTCTTAAGGATAATAATTCAATATAGGAGTATTAAGAAAAATGCTCTAAATTTGGAGTTAAGAGACTGAGATTTATCTGAAGAAGGTCTACAGCAGACCAGAGAATTAAGAGAGCAGGTTAATGAATTGGATGTGAAGATTGTCTTGGTTTCTCCCATGAGGAGGACTTTGAAGACAGCTTATGAGGTGTTGTGAGAGCATCCAAAGTTTGAGGAGATCAAGTTTATTGTGGTTCCTGAGATTAGAGAAGTTTTAGGTGCATTTTGAGGGTTGATTGGAGAGGTTTCAGAAGTCATTCCTGAGTTCAAAGCCAAAATTCCACAGCTAGATACAACCATGATTGAAGATCAAGATGGAAATCTAAGAGATCTATTACGTGAGTTCACTTCAAAACACAGTGCTTTTAAGGATAGTGATTTCACCGAATTAAGCCAAGAAGATATTCTAGGGATTGTTAGACAAGCTATACAGGATAATTACCCGAGTTCTATTGAGACAATGGAAGAGATCAAACAAAGAGTAAGTGAAACCAAGCCGATAGTGAAGAAATATATTGATCAGTTGTCTTCAGATGCTTCTGAGTCTAACCAAGCATCTCCGAAGATACTTTTAGTGAGTCACCATCATTACCTAGTTGAATACCTAGGTATCGAGCGATCAGATAAGGGAGAAGTGATCCCTAACTGTAAGCTACTATCAGACCCTACTGATTACTCATCGATATCTTAATCTAGCCTCTTTGATCGATTGAAGGTGAAATCTCTTCCATGAAAGTCTAAAGAAATGCGAAAAGCCTTTTCAATTTATTAAATTTTAAACGGGGTTTTGGGGTTTTGGGGTTTTGGGGTTTTGGGG